GACAATATCTTAGATCGTCTTTGTTTTTTATGACATTATCAGTTTTGAAGAGTATTGTCAGGTGTATTTTAGGATGCACTTCTTTTGGAACTTATCTCATGATTAAAAGTGGATTATGGATTTTGTGGAGGAAAATCACAGATGTAAAATGTCATTCTCATCATATGTCAGTTATATAAAACCCACGTGACTTATCACTGTTGATGGTGACCTTGATCATCTGACCTTATAATTACTCTTTTCAGGTTAATTTTTGCCTTAGTTTTTTTGAAGATCCTTGACCTATGTTATTTTAAAATTGCACACTAATTTCCACTATGAGTATGCAAATGAGGTGAAAAAGTGGTATTGTTATTTGATTGAGATTGAAGATGTGAATCTGGACCAAAGAAAATTTTTTTCTTTATGAGAACATCACTTCTACCATGTTCCTTGTTCACTATTTCTATTTTAGAGTCAGTATATCTGTCTCCATCAATGAAGAACCTTTAGGTGGGGGTCAGGGTGCTACACACTTGATCTTCATTTCCTGCCATGTTTCCCTTTGTTATTTGCCAAAGGGAAATGGCCAGACTTGGAATGTGGTAGGGCTCGTGCAGACACATGTTCTGGGTAACTCATATGGGGGATCTGAGTTACTTGTTGAGGCATCTGCCAACTTTTCCATAACCTTCAAAGCCATCTCTGGAAAGATCCTTGACCAAAGAACTAGGCTGAGATGTTCCACTTGACCAGCCTTAATCATGTCTGAAAATGACAGACTCAGATGAGAAGCCAAAAAAACTCAGGCAGACAAATCTGATGAGAAAGTAAAGCTGATGGTCACAGAATATAACTATGTTTAAGATCCAAGTATCTACCGTGCATTTTTCTACTCTTGGCTGGTGTAAACTAGCCGTTTTATTAACACAGCAAGCATTGTGTGCCAGGTTATCCAACAGCAAGAAAGACTGGAAGTTCCTCCCCAATATAAGTTGTCTATATTCCTTATTTAGATAATAGTGAGTTTTGTGCAGGCCCATTTATATATTATGAAAAACAAAATGCATGCAAACCATATATTTTATAAGGTCATATTTTCTGAATGCATGCCTCATTCAAGACCTGCTTTTATGGTTTGTCAACAAGATCACTCCATAAAATACATTCTGATATCTCACAGCTGTGTACAATTTATTCTGTCTATCCATGCAGCACAAATAAAATTTTTATTTGCATCATCTAGAAGAAATACCAGTGTATAAATACACAAGCAAAACTCATAAGAAACCGTCTTCTGACTACAGATACTGCTGAGGGGACATTGTGCAACCAATTAAAAAGCTGAGAGATGGCTTCATTATCCACGTACATAGATAATAAATACTGCACTCAGCAAATAGTGCAGTTACTCAATTTCTTAAAAGGGTTGTGCAACATCCCACAAATGCTGGCACTGTCTGCCTTCAAATTCTCCTGGGAATATTTAGAAATAAAGCTTCTTCGAGGAAACCATTTGAGCCAAAAAAAGTCTCCTTTCAGATTACAAGGCTGGGATATGTAGGTGAAAGGGAACATATTCAGTGGTTAGAGTATTTTTGCCTTCAACAGAACACTGTTTTTCTCGGCCATCAGAACCTTGGAAGAACTGGTCCTGAAGATTCACAGTGCTCTTCACTTTTGATTTGCATAGCAGCCTCATCACATTGGAGGGCTGCCTAGCATCTTCAAGGTCAAGGTGTGGAGCTGCTGCCTCGTCTAGTTCCTTCACTGACAGGGGCACACACTAACGGCTTCACTAGGTGATCTGGGTTTCATGCACAGACTCCTTCCTTAGACAGCTTCTCAAGCAGTTGTAAAAAAATGCAGAGAGCTTTCCTCCAAGTACCTGAGGCCTGAGTGAAAATCTTCCAGCCATTGTGGTACTGTGGCGGGAATGCGAATGGTCATATCCTGTCCCCTGTTGCTGTGCTTAGGTGGTGGGGGATACATGATGCCCGTTTTAGATATCATACTCTGCCCAATTAAATAGGCCCTAGGACAACTGAGTTGGTGATTAATTTAACAATTTACTTGGGTTACAAACTTCACTTGGATCTACCAGGAATAGCTTATAACTCAACTATTTTGTTTATGTGGAGGGATATTAAGATGTTTGTGATCGCTTTATTGACAGTTTTACCTGACTTTTCAAAGAGTGCCGTTATGGCTGTGATAATTCTTGACACGTGGCTTAGTGTTCTGTGGTCTAGGGGAATGTCTAGATGGATTTTCACTTTTTATTCCATAATTGGTAGTAATTCACAGTGTCCTTTACCCAACTCAAATACCATGCCAGCTCTCTTATAAGTGCAGTTAATTTCACTTTGCACTCTTGCTCTGCAGGAGTTATATAACTGAATCAGAACCCAAACCAGCTTGTGAGTCCCAGGGGTTCTGAGCAAGAGAGCAACTCTTGGCAACTCTTCAAGAATGCTGCTGTTAACACCAACTGAGGCTGACTTGCACTTTCTTGGCTGATATCCGTGGGCATGCCACCCTCTGCCTAATTGCAGGAAAAGGACAGCTTTCACCCTGTCTCTGCTGACATGCTCTTTTGGGGGCTCTATGGGAGTTGAAAGGTTCTCATCTTCAGGTCTCAGCTCATGTGCACCTGATCCCCAAAAACCACAACAACAAAGGGTTTTCCTGGCTTATCCATCATCAATGCCATTCCCAGCCACTCTTATTTCACAGTTTTTCTTATGAATTTTTATCTTGAGGTAATGTTGGGTTTACAGGAGGATTGCAAGTAGAACACAGAGTTCCCCGTAGTCGCCTTGCAGAGCACTTACTGCTCCCTGAAATAGCTCACATGTTGAGTGTCCCTTAACTGATCCCTTGGGACCAGAAGTGTTTCAGATTTTTTATTTTTTTAAAGAAACTTTTGGATTACATATGTTTACATATACATAATGAGATATGTTGGAGACAGTCTAAGCACAAAATTCATTTATATTTCATATGAATGTCATGTACATACCTTCATCACTGACATTTTTAGTGTTCCTGTATTTTGAGTATAATCTGTTGCAAGAAGTCAGATGTGAAATTTTCCATTTGCTGTATCATATCGGGCTAAAAAAGCTTCACGTTTTGGAACATTTCAGATTCTAAATTTTCAGATGAAGGATGCCCAACCTGAACGTGTTTAGTTGTGTCTTTCCAAAATACAAGAATGGTAATCACAGGGTGGTGCAGCTTTATCTGCATAACCTCTCTTAGATGTACAGGACTGAAAAGGTTGAGTGTTCTGGGGTGAAGCTCGAAGAGATGAGGCTGCCCATGGTGTGCACAATGTCACTGTCCCCAGGCGACATTAGGTGGTGCTGGCCTGTAGCAGACAGAATGATCCTTTTGAATGGAAGCCCTCTGGTGTAGAGCACCTGCAAGCATGTCCTTCACAAAGTAGGGAGTTCATAAATATTTGGTGAGTGAGTAAGCAAACACGTTGGCCAACAAGGAGGCAGGTACCCCTAACAAAGCCCCTGCTGTACCTCCTGTGTGCACTCTAAAAGGCACGAACTCAAGCCATGGGAGGAGCCTCACTGACTGCAGGTCCCCAGGCTGCCAGTGGTTGTCCCTCTGCAGCCAGGGCCCTTCTGATGGCTTCCAGATGGCCATTCCTTTCTTCCATCCAGCACTCCACTGATGTCCCCTCAGCTGGCACATAACCATGTCCCACATACAGATTCCTGAATCCATGAATCATCCTGGTCCAGAGCACTGCTCTCCTACCGTCCTCACTCACCCTGTCCATGGTCCTCCCTCCTACTCTTCCCATTTGGCCAAGAGACCCAGCTTACCCTCCGCCCGGCCATGTTCCTGACTTTCAATTCATACCATTCCTGTTGGCTCTGCCCTCAACAAAAAAGAGTCTAGAATACCTTGTGAGCAGCTGGAATATTTTCTGGAAAGGCTGGGTCAGACAGTTAATGCTCCAGTAGTATCCTTTTGTAACCTGACTATAACTGCAGACTTCCACATCTAGAATGATAAAATGGTGTGGATTTAAAAGTATTTGGGGAATTATAAAATGTCTAGGATTAAAATTTCAATACCATTTGTGCCTAATAAATGTGAACTCTTTAGTAACTTAAAACTGTGCTATTATGACTCAGGTCTGAAAATTATGAGCCCTGGTTGAAGAAATGGGAATAACATATGAGGGAATCTGGTCCATCCTTTACCTTGAGGACCATGCTGTGGTCACAGTGAATAGCAAGTGTGTGACCTCATAGAACAAGCCCAGAGAAATTACTGTATTTGTTAAGAAAGTGATATACTCTCCAGAAGAGAAAAATGTTATCCTTTCCATTAGGCTTGTTTGTGGAAATGGAGCTGAGTTGAACTGTGTCAGTCCAGTAACTGGTTTGACAGACAGGACTCCAAGAAACAAGAGCATATAACAGTTTATTGAATGACTTGAGTTTTCTTTTTTACATAAACCAGTCTAGTCAGTCTGAACTGGCAAATTCATTTGTCTATAGAATCACTTATTGAAGCGTATAAAATTAGACTTTGTAAGTACAGAGAGGAGATTTGGCATTGTGTTTAACAGATTCACTGGGACTTAAGTAAATGGATTTAAGTCTTAATACGGTTAAAGCCTGGAGACTTTTAATAGAGAGCTAATCTTAGGTACAGCATTAATTCATCATTTTAAAAATCACTTCTTGTGCTTTTTTTGTTGCTTGTTGAAGAACTGAATTGTATACTCTGACTATGATAATAACCCAGCACGCATTACAAGTTTGGGATTAAAAACAAATTTAATTTGTTTTCTTTAAAGTACAGTATTTTAATTGTTTGATTGACAGGGAATTCATTGGTTTCCACACTTAACATGATTTAATGGATTATAATGCTTCCTTGTACTTATTCAACTTGCAAATATTTTCACTGTCATTTATGTATAAGCTCATGATGTCAAACTCTTCCCGACTAGAATGAAAAATGTGGCTTCTTTTCTTTTGATTCAGGAGTGAGCTTATGGGACCATGTGGGAGCTTATGAAGTTGCCAGCGCTGCTGTTCTGAATGGAGACGTTGGTACCCCAGGGAAGAGCAGTGACTCAAAGGTCAGTTTTGTCCCACCTCTGCTTTGAGACCACTGATGCTTTAAAATAATGTTAAGTGCATCTTTTATTTGAGTTTTGCTTTTACCTATGTTAGTACTAATTTTCTTCTCATATAATGGAAGCTTTATTCTTATGAAGATAGGATGAACCCAACTTTGATGTGGTAGCTCCGAGTGACCCAGCCTTATTTTCATCTATTGAAATTTATTTTTCAAACAAACCCAAAGGATTACACTATCAAACAGACAGCTTCCGTGTTCAAATAGACAGCTTCCATGTACATGAATGGTGGGCATTTTTTGTATTCATTTCTATTTCATCAGTATTGCATCTTTTCAATTGATTATTGGTTGAAATATTTTCATACAACTGAAAAAAGATCAGAACAAGTTTTAATGCCATCTAAACTCTGTTTGCTTTGACGTGTTTGAATTGCAGCTTTTGTGAAATGAAAGAATAAGGTAATTGAAATATTATTGATGAAATCTAATATTTCAGTGAGTTTTATCCGCCAAGTTGACATGGCTTTCCTAAATTTTAGAGCTTGTTAGAACAGTTGCAAAGTGATAAAATCTATAGAAATATGAGCTCTTTGGAGAGATCAGACAGATGGCTTTGTCCTTGTGTTATTGCAACTATTTTTAGATCATTTTTCAGGACAGAGAACAGATTCTTTTTTAAAAAGAAGAGTTGAAATTGTCATAATCATAGGTGGTTTGGAGGAATGGCTTCAGGGGGCCACCTTTATATCAGTAATGATTTACATCATTAATTTATTTTTGAGAGAGCTTGCATTTGAAACTGAGCATTAGGAAAGGTGGTGGGTTGAATAAGGAAGCCAAATGCCAAATCTTCACTTTTTAAAAAGCATTTCTATGTCATGGAGATTGTTGTGAGTTAAATATACAAAAAACAAGCGTGGTGGTATTGATGATAAGTCCTTGGAAGAAGAGGTCTGTTATTCAAGAAAGACTCATCACATTATTAATAAGAACAATTATAAGCAATTATTATAGATGCAGAAGAGGAGTATGTTGTTTGATTAAAAAAAAGTATGTCTGTTGAAATATTTGTAGGCACTAGTAATAAAAAAATATGTAACAATCTAAAATTTCTTGGGTAGTAGAAGCCATTGTGGAGACTTCCCCAAGGGTGGAGTTACCAGATTTAGCCAATGAAATCTGCCTGATTAAATTTGAATTTCAGATAGATAATGAATATTATTATTCTTTTATTTTTGTTTTTGTTTTTCTTCTGGTACCAGGAATCGAACTCACGACCTTGCACTTGCCAGGCAAGCACTGAGCCACTGAACTAAATCCCCAGCCCCATGAATATGATTTTAATATAAGTATATCCTATGTAATATTTGGGATATACTTATACTAAAAAAAAAAACACCCATGTCCCAGTATTGGCTATAAGAATGTGGATTTGATTAAACGACCAGAGCAACAAGCTGCTGAGGGTACTGGCGTGGGCCAATCCAGGTTTACCATGGTTTCGGACCTCCAGTTTCATCCTTCCTACCCACCGTCCATCTGGCAGACATCATAAAGCCTGTATTCCAGAGGAGGAATCAGCAGATGCACTGCTGGCCAAGCTTACTCCTACCTGGTGATCACAGATCACGAGCAACCATCTTTGTACAAAAGTAGGAAAAACCATTATTGTTGGGCAGATGTCCCAACTCCTTGAATTAGAATTCCAGAATGAGAACCGTCAGGGTGGTAGAAACATCCCTAAAATATATTGTACTAACATAACTCATGCTAGTGATATTATTTAAAGGAGCAGGAACTGAGGTGAGTTGGAATAGCATTGTGTTGCAGTCCCAGGGGGCTCAACTCAGCGTGCAGCTTATGACTTCAGCATCATGACAATAACTGTGGAATGTGCTCACATTTGGTAGAAAGCTCCCACAACCTTGCATGAGAAAGAGTGCATGAGAGCGGTCTGCTCCTGGGCGCATGTCTATGGAAATTCCCCATGGAGTGGTGCATGGATGTGCTGTGGGAGCCTCCTAGTGTCATAACAGTTAAGATTTTCATTCTCAAGCACATCAACACAGTGTGTCTTCACTTCAAAGCAAAGCAAATTTATGCCAGTGAGTGTTTTTATAGAGCAACTATACCTATGATACTACAGAAAATAGACTTTTTCTACTTTCTTACTCCCCAGCTTCTTTCTCTTTAACCAGTTTTTATGGTTTGTTTGTTTGCTTTTTTTTTTGGTACTAGAGATTGAACCCCAGGCATTTATACTGAACTACATTCTCAGCTTTCTTCTTAAAAATATTTTTTCATTTTTCAACAGAGTCTCACAAAGTTGCTAGGTTGTTCAGGCTGGACTTGAAATTGTGATCCTCCTGCCTTAGCCTCTCAGAGTTGTGGGATTATACACAGGTACTACCATGCCTGGCTTATTTAACCAGTTTTTAATGGAACATCTTTGAAGTCCAGTGACTATACATACAGTCCACAAAGAAGGCAGACAGGTATTCTACTCTGCATCTTATTCTCCAGTGAGGGAAATGTGAATATAATACATTCAGATTGTGATTAAAAAAATCGTTCTAGGGACCAACAATGAGATGCATTCTCATAGACTGACCAAGAAAGCCCTTCCTAAGAATATGGTAAGATATTCACCCTTTTATTGAGTTTAAAGGGTCAGCCTGAGAAGAGCAAGTGTATGAACAGCTTATATGGAAGGAACAGAAAGAGCCAGTTGTGTCTACAACATGGGAAATCAGACAGACAGAGGGTGATGCAGGAGCAGCAGAGCCGCTCCTTCTGTGCATGGCCTCACCATGGCCTGGGGGAAATACATTCATCCTAAGAAATTGACACACTATAGTTCTCTTCTTCCAATAGCTGAATATTTGCATCGCAACTTCACGGGAGTTAACAACCATAACATCCATATTCATAATTATTCTTCCCCAAAGTGGACAACTGCCATATTGATAGCAATAAAAGGCATTCCTTATGCATGCAGAAACATCAGCTCTTAGACAGTCCTGTGTGCCCAACCTTCGGAAGTCAAGTGCAGCAGGACTGGACAGAGGGTTGTTACTAGGAAGGCGACAAGAGCCGGCATGCTGGGCAGTGACATGTGCCTTTGTGTCCCTTTGCATTTCTTCCAGACAGCTTGCAAGGATCACCTTCCTGAAATGAGGCACTAACTCACTTATCCCTGAACCTTCAGAGGTGAACTTCATGTCCATGGTATAAAGGCAAACTTCAGGCCTAGTGTAAAATCATAGCTCTGGGTCATCCAGGCTCAATCCTCACTAACCACTACTCCACTCACCTCCACCAACCTGATGCTCTGACCTGCACCTTCTCCATGCCCTTCCCATGCCTGCACGGATTTTTCATCACCCTGAGATGCCACCCACTGAGCTACAGGGACCCGATCACCTGCCCCAGCCCTGGTGGCTATGCAAAGACTCACATGTGGGTCCCAGAATGGATAGAAGGAGAGTGAAGAGGAAGCTGGAGTAACTGTCTGGAGGAGACAGAGGCAGCTCAAAACCTGCTTATGGACAGTAGCAGGAGTCAGTCAGATTGGGAACATGTCTTGAAGGGAGAGGGAAGCAGACTTGCTGCTAGATTAGCAACTTTGAGGACAAACTCAGTGTTGGGTCTGGGCTACTAAAGTGGGAAAGGGTGCCATCTAGAGGGTCATCAAAGAGAAAGGACACCCTGTTTAATTTGGTTTCCATGACACCATTACCTTGCTGGCTCATTGTTTCTCAGTCTGGATGCATATTAAAATCACCTGGAAACTTTTATAAATGTCAGTGTTTAGCATCTAGTCTTTGGAGTTAGTTTAATTGGCTCAGGGGAAGACCCAGGTATCTTTCTGTCTTTCTTTTTTAAAGCACCCTCCCCAAGTGATTTAATAAATACACAAGTAATGGAAGCAGTTGGAAAAATCTATGCTGCATCTAATGCTAGAGGTCTGGTCAGCCTAAGTCATGGTGTAGGCACAGGTGTTGTCAGCTGCTTCTCTCCAGTATTGTCATATGTCTTTCACACTGAGTAACACACCCAGCCTTCTTTGATTTTGATACAGGGTGTCACTAGGTTTCCCATACCGAGATGAACTTGTGATCCTCCTGCCTCAACCTCTCAGGGTGGTAAGATTACAGGTATGTGCTACCACACCAGCTTCTCATTCTGTGTTTGGTCTGTGGTTGCAATATATCTGGATGAGGCATTAGTGAGGCCCTTCCAAACCAAGAATCAAGCCATCACCGCCACTGGTAATTTAGTTGAAGGAGTGGAGGGACAGGAAGGAACATGGCCTTGTACAAACTGGAGAGCTGCCAGGCTTTTGTTTTTGTCCTTCAATTCATCGTCTGTAACATGGCGATAAGCTTATCTGCTTTCCCTGCTCTTAGGGTTATTGAAAGAATGAGGTGAGACAATGACATTAAAAATACTTTGGAATCAGAATGTACTACCCACAGGTAAGGCGATATAGAGATTTTATGTCCCAATTTTATGTCTTGAAAGAGGGCAGACCTAGAACCAGGGAAGACATGTCAAAATGTGATTGATTATGAGATGACCTCAGCGGAGCTAAGCCCCTGTATGCTCCAGGAAATTTCTAATTTCCAGCTTTCTCACATGAGAGTGAATATATGGAAATAGTATGTGAAATGGAAAAAACTACAAGGCAAATGGATTAGAACATGAAACGAAAGCTTCCCTTAGCCTATTGTGGGTCTCAAATATCAAGTATCAAATAGCAGCTAATTGAAATGGCAGAGGCAGATTCTGTTCCACGCATCTCCACTTGCTTTTCTCAAAGCTGATAAGGCCAAGCTGTGTGTATCTGTCGAGTAGCTGTCCCCATCTGCCCCTTCACAATCTGAAGTCCCGAGTGGTGGCTTGGGTTTGCTTGCTGACCTCCTCCACAGCCTGGCCTCCGGTAGTACCTCTCCTTCCCAACACTTCCTCAAGACTGCCTCTGAGGTCATGGGTGGC